AGCATTAAGAGGAAATATAGGTAAAGTGCCTAGAATATGGGAAGCTTGCAGAAAATGTTGGCTAATTCAGTGATCACTGTCATTCTCTTCCTCGTCATCACCGTCATCATTTGATGTGTATTTTGGAGACAACATTAGTAATCAAATCCCATAAATGTCAGCACTTAGATTCCACAAGAAACACTGGAAACATTACAAAAGGCATTGAAGAGCTGGGTGTTCCTCTCATTCTACAAGTTAACAAACTTCAACGCTGTGTGTGGAATGGCAAACCAGATGCATGTGTGTGATCCTTCAGAGGGAAAATAAAGCTGTTCATGGCAGACTTACACACACATGTATTCAAAACACAGTATGTGTGTTTCCACACTCAAAAATCTTTTATGTGGAAATTATTTCGAGTAAAAGTGTGACGGAGACTAACTGTCAGTTCCCCAAATCACCTTCCTTCTTCTCCCGATCACAGCGATAATCTCCATCTAACCTCCACCCAATCTTCAAAGTCAGGTATGGCCATGAGTTGAGTCCCAGTCGATGGAATCATCGACTCATCCATTCCACGGATGAGTGGAAATCATCCGTGCGACTCCCAGACCTGGCTTCTGAATGCCCCTGCACAGTGTGGTACCTGCAGGGATGCTGGTGCTGACCGTGTTTTCTAAGGATCTTTTCCTTTTCATCCTATTTCCCCACAGGCTGCCAGAGTTACATTTCTAAAGCACAGACCTCCCTCTTATGTTCCTCTGCCAGCCTTCCTATTGCATATGAGACACATCCCTAAATTCACATGGTGATAGCCAAGGCCCTTTACCATCTGGACAGCACCTGGCAGCCCCCACCTGACCACCGTGCTTAGTAGTCCCGGCTTCACCAGAGCCTCTGAACATTTGCAGAGCTCTGTCCTCGCTCCACAGCGTCTCCTGCAGGGTGTCCTTTCAGGGTGCTGCACCCACAGACGCTTAATCATTCTTCAAGACACAGGTCCGATGTTGAAGTTGTGTTTCCTAAGTTGCCTACACTGCTGTCTCTTCTTGGAGCACTGTCACCCCCTCTGCTAATATTTCACTCCTTAGTGCATATTTTGTGCAGTTTTCACAACACTATCACTTTCCAGTAGAACGTGAGCTCTGGGGTGCAGAGGCTGTGGGGTCATCCTCATCTCCCTAGTGCGGAACTTGGTTTCTGACTTGCTGGGGGCCCTCAGGAATGTCTGTGGAAGTAAACTGACTTGAATTCACTAAATAAACCAACTCAGCTTATGAGAAGGCAGAGTGTCAAGATGTGGGGTCACAGCACACAAAGGGCATGGCAGAGGCACAGCAACTCCCCTGGTGACCCAGTGCAGGCGAGGACGCCGGGAGGAAATGAAACCCCAGCGAAATTTCTGGATTTGGTGAGAAGCCTCTGGTGTCTGGTTAGTCCTTAAACAAGTGCTGACTTTGGGTTTGCCTGCATTGGTCAGTTAGACTTTCTTGGTTCTGTGGCTTGGAACTGGGAAGCGGCCTGGGGTTTCTTGACGTCAACTCATATGTATAGCAAATTCAATAATCTATTTTCTGGAATTAAATGTCTGTCCAGTTTAGACTCAATTTAAGGAAAGGAATAAATTTAGCAATACACGTAGGTACGTTGATCATATGCAACGTGAACTGGGGGATTAGCTTACTGCTTAGAGATTTCCTTAGTGATTCCTCATCAATAAAATGAAATGCTACTTTTAAGATGCTGATGGAAGTAAATACTTTTTGAACAAGGCAGATACAGATGCAGTTACACAGAAACTTTGCCATAAATGTGCATGATCGAAGGGGTTAGAGGAGATATCTATATGGGAGAAGGCAATCTGGATGCCAAAAGCCCCAGCAGGCTGTGGAAGAAGGAGCGAAACTCACGGAGAGTTAGCAAGGGAAGCCTCAGAGGCTAGGAGTTGTTTGAAGTTGGCCATAAAGAACAGATAGCAATTTGACTACAATGAATTAAGAAACTGTAGTTACTATTTTAGCACTTGCTTTCATGGGCACATGACAGCTTTTTATTTTTTCTGATAAATGTGCAGGTTTCCTATATATTTTTAATGTCTCCAGTTCTTTTACTTCCTTTAGCAAATGACGTTTTACCTTGTGTCTTAGTCCACTAAGCCTGCTACAGCAGAATCGCACAGGCTGGGTGGATTCTAAACCACAGAGACTTGTCTCACAGCTCCGGAGGTTGGAAGTCTAAGACCACGGTGCTGTCCCATGCGGTGTCTGCAGGGTCCTGTTCCCTCCCAGACAACACCCTCTGGCTCTGTCCTCACGTGGGCGAAGGGGCAGGGCAGTTCTCGGGGCCTCTTCTGTGGGAGAACTCATCCTACTCAGGAGGGTTTCACCCTCATGCCTTCCCAAAGACCCCACCTCCCAACACCGTCACCCTGGGGTTAGCATTTCAACATTTCAGATCTGAGGGGACACACATTCAGTCCACTGCACCTTGCATTTGGGGACTCTGTGTCCATAAAGACTCCAAATTGTCCAAACTGAATTTAACGTTCAAGTCATGATCATCAGAATAACTCCAGCTAGTTCTGACCCTGAAGGGAAGAGATATTATTTGTTCAAAGTCACACTTCTTTACTATCCTTTCCTAACGTAATCTACTGTTTAAATAGAATTATAAAATTATGTATTAAGTTTATCCTAGTGGAAGGATAATGATGCTTATTGAGGTGTGGCAATCACATTTTAAAATACTTATCACTTTATAAGCTTACATTGAAAAGACAAGTAAGTATTTTCTTTTCAGGTGTACTGATGAATAAAAAAATAACAGTGAAAATGATCTAATATCTATGTGCATCAACCATGGGCCATTGTTTTAGGGCGCTAGAGAGGACGGGGTGCAAACAGGATCAGGGCATTGTCCTGGCCAGGCAAAGAGCTCAGCATTAATGGGGCAAATATCTACAAGAGTTCTTGCGATCTACAGAAAACAGCAGTAAGGATATGATTAGCAAAACCAAAGTATCAAGGAAGAAGAATAAAGGGAGGAACTTAGTGTAAGCAGATATGCTGCGTGGAGTAAATGCCACCTGACCTGACATTTCAGGAGGTGACGTCACCAGGTGGAAAAGAAAGATGTATGTCCCTGGATGCAAAAGCTTGAGAGAGCCTTGCTGGTGACCAAGAGCCTGGGCGCCAAGGCTTGAGGGGAGCAGTGGCTGGATCTGGTCCGAGAATTGCAAGCGGTGTGCTGTGGCCTACAGATGAGTCCAGAAGCTTTGACCTCTGTGAACTCTTTTTTATCCCATTCTACTTGGAACAACAATACAGTATCAGTCTTCCTCCGCTGCCCCGGGTGTGCTTCTCCCAGCCAGCAACCTTCCAGAGATTGCCACCAATTACAGGAAAAAAATCTGTACTCCTCCAGCAGGAGTTTAAAGCCTCCTCCTTTCTCTGTCCCGCACCTCTGTGGTCTGACTTCCACTCCTCTCCAGCAGACACGCGCTCGATCCACGCACGCCTCCCTTATGCCGCTTACAACATTGTTCCTGCCAGGAAACGTTTCCCAAATTCACCCCGATTAAAGGGAGGGGAGGCAGGAGGCCAAGGGTTCTGCATTCATCCAACAAAGAGAAAATGAATCCCTTAATTAGACAGTGACAGTTGGCAAGGATCGGCATCTGTATATTTTTGACAAAGAAGAACCAATCATAGGCTTTAGAGTAGCAAGAGACTTCAGAGGTGATCTCATTGAGGGACTGTGGCATTTGAATCTTCCTCATGAAAAAGTAAGCAGACCTCTGCTCTACTATAATTTTAACCCCCTTCTAGGGAATTTGTTGCCTTGCACGGCAGTGTGTCTACTTGCTACATAGTTTTCAAATCAATAAAGTGACTCCACTATAAACATTTGCAAAGTTTGTACAGTCTCATAATAGTAAAATAAAATAGTAAAATTTATGTGATTTATTTATTTCTGAATTTCTGATCACATAACTGTATCTTAAAACAGGGCCAGCTTACCACTATCATACATCAATGAATTTCAATGTAGGCAAATTGCTGTAAATAGACCTGACATATTTGAAGTGGACAGATTAAGGTTGGAGCAGGGCTATGACATTTTCTGTCTTATGAGGTAGTCAGCTCTTTTGACTGTTGTTTGAATCAGTGATTTAGAAAGGATTTCACCATTTCCTGTGACTTACTTTAATAATGTGCACTATGTGCATTTGTTCTAATTAACATAGATCATTAATAATTATACTAATTACTAATTAATAATTCTTTCTTATTCAGAAGTTCATTTCCAGAAGGACCTAGTGGGCATTGAAAGTGGGCCAGATGAGTATTAAACTTGACCTGCTTTGGAGACTTTGATAAGTCTGTGCTTTAATTAACTGGTAAATTTGAGGTTATGAAGCTCAGGTAATTAAAAATGTATTTTTACTTAAATTGGAATATATGGGACTTTACTTAATGATCTATTCAGGAAATTATGAAGTATATATAATATTTGGAACGTGATTCAAGATGCTTTAGCTTGTAAAGTACTAATAAGATTTCATGGTAATCTCAAATATAGACTAGATAAATTCCTGTTTTAGATAAGATACAGAAGAGTGCATTCTTAAGCAGGTCCACACTAGTTAGAAAGAATGTGGCTGAAAAAAACATTTTCTGTATGGCTGTTATAGGAAAGATTATCCTGTTCCCACTAAGAACATAGCAAAATTAACTCCAGATACATGGGCTCTGTTAATAAAAATTGATGAGTTATGGAAATGCAGCTTAACCAACACTGTTTAGTTAAAATCCGCTCCTGGAAACATTCCTGCGATTCTTATCTCTTGCTCTTGGAGCCCCTCAGACCTCTGGGCCGATCTCCTCTGCACCAGCCCTGCCCTGAGAGTAGGAGAAGCAAAGGACCCCCAGCTCCCAGATCCACGCACCCTGCACTTAGAGGGCTCCACCGATCATTTTATCTGATTAGAACATGTTTTTGTCTTGCCCTTCATCCAGAGGCTACTTCAGCTCCTGAGAGGGGGATCCTGGCTAACAGCTAAGAGGGAAGGAGCTCTGCTGGCCTGGGTCCCCTGACGGCTTCTTCACAATGTCAGTGACATGCAGAGGTCACCTGCACCAGATACACGCCAGGTAACTCCTCAGGTTACTCCCCAGGAGCGACAGCTTGTGCCAGCACAGAAGCGAGCAGAGCCTGTGGCATCACACCCAGATGGTGAGTGTAGATGAGACAGACCAGTCACCCCAGCCCACAGATGTAGAGAGACAGACCAGTCAGACCCCAAGCCGGCATATGTGGACTGGACAGTCATCACCTCCGGCTGGCAGGTGCAGAAGAGACAGGTCGTCCAGCCAGCAGGTGCAGAAGGGACAGGTCATAACCCCCGGCCAGCAGGTGCAGAAGGGACAGGTCATAACCCCCGGCCAGCAGGTGCAGAAGGGACAGGTCATAATCCCCAGCCAGCAGGTGCAGAAGGGACAGGCATCACCCCCGGCCTGGCAGGTACAGAAAGCACAGGTCATAATCCATGGCTGGCAGGTGCAGAAGGGACAGGCATCACCTCCGCCAGCAGGTGCAGAGGTGCCCTTGCAGTAGTTGGATGTGAGACCAAGAAGCAGAAGCTAAGGGAGGGGGGCTGGGACATTCCTGGAGATCAGAAACCAAGGCCCCAGGGCTGACGCTGCACATATCCCAGGCATTGGGGACTGAGGGCAGCCGATGGGGCCCTTAGCAGGACTTGCCTCTTCCAGACTTGACCAGAGAACCCAAGCATGCTAAGTGTGACTTACGGACGCCATCAGGTTGCGGCAATTCCACAGGAAATGGACCATCAGCTCTTCTTCGGCCCTTGGACTCTCCCCCCCGCCCCCACTGTGGGTGAACACTGCCTGTTTCCTGTGCTCTTGGGGGAAGGGTCTGGCCTCGGGGGTCACCCCTGCTCGTGTCAGACTGCGGTGTGCTCCCTCTGTGCTCCCCTCTGGGCTACCATGCCTCGTGCTTCCCCTGTTCTTCTCATGCTCTCCTCAGTCCTCCCTTTGTGTTTCCTCCATGCCCCTTTCTATGCTCCCTCTCATGCTCCCCTCCATCCTCCCCTCTTGTACTCCCTCTTGTGCTCCCCTCCCCTTCTCCCTCCATGTTCCCCGCCCTCCACACGTGGCTCCCTCTCTGCTCTGCAGTCTGAGCTGTGAGGGCCCAGGTGCTGCTCAGCTGCCAGGCCCCTGCCCCCCCCATCCTTTTCCTAACCCTCTTCTACTCCTTCCTGGGAGCCCCCACACCAGGGCTGCCAGGGAGGCCTAGACAGCCATGCCTGCCGTCGCAGATTCGTCGCACATTCATACTGGCCCAGAAACACAAAAATTTATGCTTCCACCTTTCTGCGCTTCCTTGTTTTTATGAGAATGATGCACCATCATTCCAGGTTTAGGAAGCAGCGAAATACGTCTCAGCTGTGCGAGGCTCATGTAAATCACCTTTAAGAAGTGAATGAAAATGTTACACTAAAGCTTTGTGAGACAGCCAGGACCTGTTTCCCCCATAAAGACGTTTATACCTGACTTGTATGTGAGAATAGCGCCAGGCAGTTGAGCTTCCTGCTGAGGGTGCGAAGGACCGAGGAAAAATAGAGAAAAAGAGAAGGGGAGTGTGTGCAAGAGAGAACAGACCGAGGGCAGAAACCAAATCAGCTGCCTGGTATAAAAATGTACTTTAAAATAAGATAAATTACGGGATTTTGTGTTTTTCTAGGATAATGTACATGAGGGATAAAATCTACTTCGTTATTAACTGATTTCATTTAGTTTGCTTTAATTAGAAAAACTATTACAAATAACTATAAATGCAAAATTAACAGGTTGATGAGTGGCAACAAAATAATGAGTCCCATGGTGATAATTATGTAAAATATGTAAAATCCATTTTCTAATCATTGATTTACATTAAATAAAAACATTAATTTGACTTTGGGTTGGCTGAAGATATCGGCAGCCACTTGAATCTAAATCTCTCCAAACATCTCCAAGATGAGCATGAAGAACTACTTGACGTAGAACTCTTCCCTCGGCAAGCCTGGGAGAGAGAGACACGGTGTGTTTCAACCGCCTGCAGGTGAAATAATAAACAACATACAACAGCAGATCGATTACCTTTGATCCCAGTGAACACAGTGGTGGACAGTGAGGAAAGTCCAGGGACGTGGACAGGAGGGACATGGAGAAAAACTGCAGAGAAGCCTCCCAGGGGCTGGCGGCTCCAGGGAAAGGACACATGCATCTCCAGGACCTACATGGCATGCCCAGAGCTGCTTTGCCTCTGAAGAAGAGGATAAATAGAAGGAAGAGGCACCCTTAGGAAGCAGAGGGGTGAAGAAATAAAGAGAAGCAAGAGAGGAAAATGTGGGGTTCTGCAAGACCAAAGAGGAGCAGAAACCAGAGGACACACCCCCTCCCCTGGGACAGCAACAGGAAGCGGAATGCTGCTGCACTGACGGGAGAGAGAGCTCCTGAACAAGGAATCCCATCCACTGCCTCTAACGGCCAGCTGCACAGAAGAAATAAGCAAACAAAAGCAGCCCAGTGTTATAAAAAGCTATTTGTAGAAGAAAACACAAAATGAGAATCAAGCCATTTCAGGTGATAAAAATGCACTGCCACAAAACAGCTGTGAAGGAGAAGGGACCTGAGCACAATACTGCACCTTCAATTAAATATCCTCACCAAGTGGCTGGTTGTACAAGGAAAAGGACCTTGTAGCAGGAAATATAAAAATGACTAAAACCAAGAATGACTGGATCGAGTGACAATTTGAGACATTCAAGAAAGGCAAGAAAACAAAAATTAAAATAAAAATGATTTATGAGTATTCTCCAGTGAAACAGAACCCCTGGAATGAAGAGTGAGCTCGTGTAATTATGGGGCTGGCAAGTCCACAGTTTGCAGGTTGGGCTGGCGGCTGGAGACCCAGGAGGGCCAACGTTCCAGCTGGAGTCTGAAGCAGGTGGGCTGCACAGTTCTCTCAGAGCCAGGGAGGGGAGTCTTTAGGCCTTCAGGGGTGCAAGGCCTGGTGCAACCCCGATGTTATGGAATCTGCTTTTTACTTGAAGTCCACCAAAGTAAATTAATCTCATGCACTGACACCCTCATGAAAACACCCAGAATAATGTTTGACCAAAAACCTGGGCACCCCATAGCCCAGGCAAGTTGACACATAAAATGAACTATCAAAATGAGTTACATAAAAAAAAGGGTCAGAGTGACATTGGTGACATGCAAGAGAGCCAACAACAGCCAGCATACATGTAACTGGAGTCCCATACAAACCCAGGGCCAGAGCTAGAGAAACTAGACTTAGATAACTTTTCCAGAAACAAAAGAAGCATTGAAGCTACATGTTAGGAGGGCCTATGAGACCTGCAGGAATTGGCCTGGTATATTTAACTGAGACATAGCCAAATAAAACTATTAAACTTTAAAGATAATGAAACACAATCCTAAGGGCCTGAAGATAAAATATCACATTCCTCATCCAGGCCAAAGAACAAAGTAGGCATCTGACTTCTCAAGAGTGACCTGCAGAGTGAGGCCACAATGGGGCTGCATCCCAGAAACCCCCTAATGGAGGTGTGAGCACAGGATCCTATGCCAAGCCAAACTGTCTTTCCAGCATCAAGGCTATAGAAAAATAGTCTTAAGCATGCTAAAAACTCAGGAAACGTACCTATAAGCACTTCTTGAGGGATTTACTCCTGCAAAAGTGTCTGGAGCAATTGTAGGTATCACTGTATTGATCTTTTTAGGAGAATACATCGACCTATAGACCACCTGGTCTCCAACATCTGAAAACAGTCGTTTCTTGTCTTCTGCCCAATTTTGTAGTTGTTTATATCAGAACGTTAAGCCTGCCTCAGTTACTTAATCATGGCTGGAAAGATAATCAACATCTACTGCTTTTTTTAAATTAGAAAAACACAAAACAAAATTTTAGCATCTTCTAATAAAATAATTGTTTTAGTCAAATTTTAATTGAACAAATGAATGAATGAACAATCAGGCCCTTCCTTTTTTGTTGTTGTTTTTTGAGACAGAGTCTTGCTGTGTCGCCCAGGCTAGAGTACAGTGGCAGGATCTCGACTCACTGCAACCTCCACCTCCCTAGGTTCAAGCAGTTCTCCTGCCTCAGCCTCCTGAGGAGTCTTAAGCATGCTAAAGGGATTACAGATGCCCGCCACCGCACCCAGCTAATTTTTGCATTTTTAGTAGAGATGGGGTTTCACCATCTTGGCCAGGTTGGTCTTGAACTCCTGACCTCGTGATCGACCCACCTCGGCCTGCCAAAGTGCAGGGATTACAGGCATGAGCCACCGCGCCAGGCCAGGCCCTTCCTTTTATAATAATATATACAACTCCTGGGTTTTAAACCTTTCACTTTAGTCACAGATGGACTCTGAGAGAGAAAATAGCACCCCTGTCCAAACGTCACATGCCTGGCGGTGGGACGCAGCCTGGCCTGTGCATCTGAATGTTGGAGAGTGCACCTTCCTCTCCTTATTTTGCTTTATTTCCAGGGAAAGGGAAAGGAAGACATGCAGGTAATTTATCAACTAAATTATAGGCTGACTGATAATAAAGCCCCACGCCCCCCAAAAAAAGGAAATGATTGTGGAGTTTTAGTGGGTTTTCAATTGTTCTTTCTTTTCTCTCCACAATGAAAATCTATCATTAAAATATTTTATTTGGTTTTTGTTTTAAAAGTTTAGATAATTCTATCAGTAAAAATGAACTTTCTAAAATTTGCACATAATTTGTCACTGGTTAGAAATGCAGAAATCTACCGACTTCTCATTGATCTTTTTATTGTATGACTTCCTTGTGCTGCCTACCAGAATTTCTTGCAGCCAGTGGGTAACTCAAGTCATACAATGTTAGAATAATAAAGGATGTTAGACTTTTTCTAAAATCTTCAGTTGTATATTTTCATCACCAAATAAAGCGCAGTATCCAAAGCAAAATTAAAGTAACAGATTTCTTATATTCTATCTGCAGTCAGTTCATATGGACTTCATTTATTGGATCACTGAATATGTTTTCTTTAAATATCAAGAAGCAATAACATCACAACTATTAACCTACCTATATAATTTACATTCTAAATGAAATGTCAGGTTATGTATGTGAATAGATACATATGAAGATAAATATTCTGTCATTTAGACTTTTAAT